TCAAGCGCTGAGGAGCTGGAGGAGTTAGATATGTTTATTTACTATTCACCCTTAATTTGTCCTATTTGTGCAGAGGGTATAAATTTTAATTTCAGATTTATATGTGATGTGATGATGCATGAAGTAACCAGCACATATATCTAGATTTCTTCACTGAGCTTCAGCTGTTCTTCCAGTCAACACGTACTGGATTCCCCCGAAGCTCCTCATTTCCCTTTATTCAGACAAAACCATCCACAGCATCTTGCCCGGGTTGCCTGTCTTGGCTTAGTGGTTTGAAGCCCGTGTTCCCGAAGCCCGTGTTCCCAAAGCCCATCAGGAGTTGGCAGCTTTTCCCAGCTTCGGCACTGGTGCCAGGGGCAGACCTGAGGTGGCCTGTGGGAGATGTGTTCCCTCTGGGGACATCCACGTGGGATGGGACCCCCAGCTCTGGCAGAGCAACTGGGCACCCAGTGAGAGCCAGGTAATTCCAGCTCATCAATGGTTTTCAGGTCCCAGCTTCAACGCAACAGTTTGCCTGCGGGTTTGTAGATGCAGCCGTTGCCTTCATGGGCATATTAAATACCCAGAACTGCTGGAATTCTGGATGGTTTGTCCAGATACATTACCCTACCACGGTGTCAAGGAAGTACTAGTCTTTTATACATCTACAGCAGAAGAAAATGTGTGGGGACAAATCTGAGTTTGCATTTTTGAATTATTCTTCTTTTGTTTTGGGAAAGATTGTCTAAGCTCTGTGTGGTTGTGTTTGTGTGGTGCGGGTGAAGAGGGGAAAGCACTGCATTTTACTCAGCTTTTTCCATACATGCAATAGCTGCTGGGGGACAGTCGCTTGAGCCTCTGTCACTTAGAAGGTGGTGCTTTTTCTGCTAACATGAACTCATGACAGGGCATAATATTTTTATTATGTTAAATCAGGTGTTTATGAGCCCCAAGATTGACTCGTCTAAGTGGGAGAGCGATACTGCAATCTGTAGCGCCATCTGCTGGATTTTTAAGTAAAAAATATAGTTTCATGCTACGTTTAAAAATAATTTAAAATGTAGTGGTGTATAAAGGTGACCCAAATCTCTGGCATTTTTAGAAAAATCTGTGCAGATACAGCATAAATATGCAAGTGCACCATTTTGCCACTTCTAAATCTCAAATGTATATGTGTGAATATTTCAGATAGGTATACACTATAGGAATTTAAAAGTGAAACAGAAAAAAAGCAATAAAATGGTCTGTTACTACTGTGTTACAGAACACATCTGAAAGGTGATTTTTAACAATTATTATAGATACTATAAAATTTGAATGAATTTGATTTCATACTTGTGTCCTGATGTGCGTGGAGACCGTAAGAGGAGTACATGTGCAGCGCATCGCTGCCTCTGGCCGTCCTCTGCCTCCTGTATTTCTCACTTTTGAAGGAAAATGTCTATGAAACTTCTTCAGTCTGGCTTATATAGGTCCAGTGTTAAGTCCTGGAATAGTTTTCTCTATTTTTTGTTCTAACCTTTGTTTTATTTTTTCCCCTTCATCTTTGGAAGTTGTGTGGGTGAGGAAACCTCCTTTTTCTGGCTATGCCATTGACCTCAGTAGCAGAACTAGATGAGTTTTGGGGTGCATTCTGGAAAATGGTGTGACTATATGCATATATTGCTCTTACATAGTAGCTTGCTTGCTCTTTCTGTCAGAAGGCGTTGAATTGCTATCTGCCTCAAGAATGCCCCAATCCCTTGTATCATATGCTGTTATTAAGTCTTTAACCTAACTCTTAGGTGTTTTTTTACATTAAGGAATATTTAATAAACTTAAATTTTCTTTTCATCTGATGAAAATGTGCTCTACAGCCTGGAAGTTAAGGACCAAACTTGAAAAATATTCATCTGTATTTTAGTTCTTGCTTAATACTTAATATACTTCTATATAAGGCAAACCTGTTGGGAGGGATTAATTCTCAGCATTGTAGAATAGCCATAGATTCTGAGATCCTGTCATTCCTCAGAATGGTGGGAAAGGTGATCAAAACCTTGCAAAAGAAGTGATTGAACCAGACCTGCCCTGGGTCGCGTAAGATTCTTTCTGCTCCATGACTTCTGCGACCGGTTCCTCCGATTCCTTTCCTGCTGTAGATAAAACGTCAGGATTTCTCCAGCGATGCCGAGCCTGACGTGGGAGATGAGCACTTGGGTGTGAACTTGGTGGAAAGGGTCTTACACTGATGTGGGAAGTAAGAAATCTATAAATAAGTGCTACTTATGTATAAAGAAATGAAATCTCTCACTCAAGTTTTGCTTGGCTGCTGGTGTGTTCGGCTGCCCCTTGGTGCACACAGAAGGGCAAAATATAGTTGTATTAATGCACTTCCTGAGCTTGATACAAGCTTGGAAAAAAAATCAGGTGTAGACTGTCTGATTGGAAAAGAACAGGAGGAGGAGCAGCGCTAGCTGTTACCTTCCCTTCCCATCTTGGTGAAGAGCCAGAGCTTTTAGTCCTGCAGCAGTGGAGGAGAACCGAATTCAGTTTCCATGGTTCCATTTTTTTAACAGAATATTTGATTTAATAAGAAATTTACCTACAGACCTCTCCATTATTTAATTGCATTCTTTAAGCTGGTTATTATACAAATTCCTGAATGCCTTCAGTTGTTTTTATGCGTTGTAAGTGAACAGCTGTGTAAGATAAGTTAAATCATATGTGTAATCCAATAATGTGGCCAAAAGTATTAAGTTTCTCTGGTATTTTGCCTAATTCTTTTGACCTATTTTTCTCATCTTACTCAATACTGTAAAGGTTTTTTAATCAGGTTAGTAAAAAAAACAAAAATAAAAATCAAAAACTCCGTTGCTACTCCTGCCAAGTTTTTCATTAGCATAAAGCATTAAGTATAATGCATCATGTTTGCAGTGGGGGAGAACAGATTCTTTGGCTTCTTTGGTTTTGCTGTTGCTGCATCCTCACTAGAATGTGCCTGTATAAAGTCACTCTCTTTAGTATGAGAACTGGTTGATTTATGTAGTTACAAGTGGTGATATTCCTGTCCAAATGGATTATGTGTATTTTACCACAATTCTTTATTTAATTTGAATTACAATTTTCTGGGCTTAAATATAATCTTAAAGTAAAAATATGCACCAAAACCATATTTCCTACAAATAGCACTGATTACTTGGATCTTAAAAGTCAAAACAAATCCATGGCACACATACACACGCACAAAATCCCACAGAACCAGGGAATTGTCTCAGTAGAAATACATTGGTGGAAGGGTGTGGGTCTCAAGGCTAACTAAGGGAGTGGGTGCTTAGAGCAGGAAGCGGAGATGAGGGACGATCATCAGAACCTCTGTAGAGGTCATGTTATAATCTATTCAACCCAGGATTCCCGTTTCTATTAATACCCTATTTAGCTTTTCATGATCTTTGAAATATTACCCATGAAGACGTAGATGTGAAGCAATACAATGTGTGTGAAGAGCCCCTGGGCTGTGTGCGAGGGGGTGAAAAGGCCAAGCTGCTCAAGGTGCCCTGTGGGACCCTGCCCCTCGGGGGCATGAGGTCTTGGCCGAGCTCATGACAGCAGAGGTTGGAGGTTGCGGTGCTGTCCTGGAGCACCCACAGACCTTTTTCTTTCTCCTGTGATTTGATGAACAGTAGGATACTTAACAGCTGAGATATGGTCCTTTCAAATTAGCTTTGGGTGGGGTAAATTAAGATTCATGGCAGCTGAGCTCCTTACTGCAAAAAGGATGATCGTGCCCTTGACTGGTCTTTTTCGCTTCTGCCTTCAGGAGGTCGTGTCCAACCTCCCGCCCAGGCCCCCAGCACCCTGCTCAGAGCAGAGTGATTGGGGAAGCAAAATGATGGGGAAAAAAAAAAAAAAAAAATTTTTTGGGGGAATTAATTTTCTGGTTCAGGTCCGTGGGTTAGCTCACTGAGAGGGATCGGGGGATGCCAAAATCAGTGCTCAAGGAGCAGTAACAGCAGCCGGGAGCTGGGGGGGAGAGGGGCTGCCCCTTTTGGGAGTGCCTGGACCTTCAGCTGCTTCCCCTCTGGAACTTCATCTTTGCCAAGAAAACCTCAGAGAAACCAGCAGGAGAACACGTTTCTCCTCAGAGATAATACCATGATGAGAAATATTTTTATCACTAAATATTTTATTATTATTATTATTGTTCCTGACTTACAGAAGGGGAGGTGAAGGCTGGGGGGCTGGGGGCTCCCCCCTGCTCAGGGGTCTCTGTGGGGAGCGGGACGCGTGGCCGGTGGGTGCAGTGTCCGGCTGGCTGTCGTTTGGGCAGTCGGAGGAGAAATGCTACTTCTCTGAAGTATCTGCCAGTTTTTTGGACAGGCCAGCATTCCTCTTGGGCATCTCTGTACCTGCTAATATTGCTCTGTGCTCCTACGGCTGAGCTGGAGGAAACATCTGCAACCTTGAGTGGTCTCTCAGACCTACCAGGGGGGAACACAACAGGTTGGTAACATATAGATCTGACCAAGAAAGCTGTTCTCCTGTTCTTGTAGGGCCAGTGTGATTGTAAAGCGTGTTTTGAAATCTTTGTGTTAGTAATTTAGATTTATGAGAATAGAAGTGTGCCACTATAACTGAAGATTGATTTATTATGCCTGCTGTATAAATAATGTTCATTAAAAAGCAATGTAAATTTGCTCAGGCAGTTATATTTCTGCTTTTATTCTGTACGTGGTAGATACCTCTGTCTATGCATTTATTTTTTTTGCCATCTCTTTATATTTGGATCAATTTCTGGTCAAGTGAAATGATTTTCTCACGAGCTTTGAAGTAAACCTAATAGGAATACATATGAGTGTTATAATTTCCTTCCGATTCTCCTGCACAGTCTTCCATGTGCAGTGTGTATGTGATACGAGGTACAATTATTATTGTGAACATGCCAAGAATATTAGGTAGAGTTATAAATTGAAAGAAAGAAATACACAGTAGTGTTATTTCCTACTATTCTTGCTATATAAACTTTTTTCTCATCTATGCAGGAGGTTGCATCAACAATTTGAAAGCTATAAAGAGCAAGTAAGAAAGATAGGGGAAGAAGCCCGCCGTTACCAGGGAGAGCACAAGGATGATGCTCCAACATGTGGAATCTGTCATAAAACAAAGTTTGCAGATGGTTGTGGCCATTTGTGCTCTTATTGCCGGACCAAGTTTTGTGCTCGATGTGGAGGCCGTGTCTCTCTGCGATCAAACAATGTAAGTCCTCTGATGTGTACTCTTAAGAAAAAGCCTCCTTGACATTGTCACGCTGCGGATTGTTCACCTTAAGTTTGGCATTTCATGTTTCATTTTACTGAGGTGTTTCATTCATCGCTTTGTTGCGAGGTGTGTGTAAAGAATAATAATGCATTTAGTGATTGTGGAATCACAGAGTTAATTAAAACAAAAGAATACATAGTGTGTAGTTTTACTGAATGATGGCTTTAAGAAAACATAACCTGTTTTGCATAGAATGAAAGAAAAAAACCTTTTGCTCAGGTAAATCGCCACATTGAGAAATTTTTATTGAACTCTTATTTCATTTTAGATTTCTTTTTCACAGACTTTTTAATATATATTTATAGATTTTTTTTTTTTTACATAACATCAGTCAATTTTTTGGTTAGAAAAAAAGCCTAACCACTTTTACCACAGTGAGAGTCTTCTATCAATTTATTTTGAAATTATTTTAAGCAGGAACACTACAGATAAATCCCCCTCCCTGAGCCCCGCACGCAGTGAGCGGCAGCGGCGGCCACAGCACTGGGGGGGCTCTCAGAGCACCCCCTCTGCGGGCAGTCCCTCCCCTTGTACCCCAGCAGCAGGAGTTACAGCTGCAATTCAGTCAGTAGTTGTGGCTGATCAGCCAGTACTGTGGTACCTTATAAAATATTTTCCAAATATTCTTTTAATGCATGAATAGTTTTATTATCTTTCATATTTTTTCTATTTAAAAAAAAAAAAAAAAAAAGGTGAGCTAACTTTTTGCTGTGGCTTTAAGGTGCCAGTCTTTCGTAGAGGAGATTCAGCAACGCTTTTTATATCAATATAAATCAGTTAAAAGTGGTCACGAATTTTATAGCAGATAATCATCTTCACAAGATGAACTAGTTTGTGGCCTTTTCGCTTTCTTTGAGCTAAACATCAACTGAATATGGCTTATGAAATTTAATGTAAACAAAAAACCAACCCCCTAAGAAAAACACTATTTCATCTTTATTTTGGAAGTTTCCCATAGACCTAAAGTACTTCTGAGTCATTAAATTAAATTCATATTCTGATTAAATTATGTGATTATATCAGACATAAATTTTCACGTTATTTCAATATAAGTAGATGCATTACATTGCATCACCTGCAGGTGGTGTCAATAGAGCAAGTCTATGAAAATATGGTTTACTGTGATATGTTAATGTTAGAGTGCATATGATACAGCTTATCTTTAATCAGGAAAAAAATGAATATATTTTAACTATTTTTCACCAACTGTTTCAAGTCACAGAAATAGAAAAGTGTCCATTCATTTGTAACTTGCCTTTTGCTTGTTATATTGTTCATGCTTCTGCGGGTTAGAGTGGGAAAACATGTTTTATACATATGCAGTGGTGTAATCTTTTTATTTAAAGCTCTTTTTTTTTTTTTTTTAAATTTATGTTCTTATCTCTTTGTAGAGAGTTATTAGAATTGCATTTCTTTGAAATCTGTCTATTAATACTTGCCTATTTTATTGTTTTTCTCTTCTTTTTTTCTTGTCTCTTTTTATTCTGCTTCCTTGGATGCTTTCCCAAAGGAGGACAAAGTGGTTAGAATCCATGCTTTTTATCATTTATTATTATAATGTTGTTAGTTAACTGGGAAACACAGTAATGTAAAAAAAAATGAAATTCTAAAATTTCCAAAGGAGAGGGGGGAAGAGCAGGAATCCTATTGCCCGGGCCCTGCCCATCCCCTAGCTGAATACACACTTCAAAGATATAGCTCAGCAAGGAAACCCAAGACTATTGTCTGAATCAGGACAATAAAAGAAAGTAATTAATAGGTGGGAATTATTAGTAGGCTAAAAAGTAGAGGAGGTAATAAAGTACAATAAAGCTTGATTTCTTAAAAATGTCTTTGGTGAACAGTATGACTTTTTGCATGCAAGGTCCTTCCATCAGCTTCAGGAAATCTAATTTAGTATTTTAATTGTAATTTTACATTGATTGTAGTGGTTTGCTGCGTTTCACTTCTGGCTGCAGCAGAAATTCAGAGAACTCTTGTGGAATCAGCTTCTTGATTTTTTGCATTTGAAATCATTTGCGTGGGGGAAAGATAACCTCTTAAAACCGGGCATGATTCTAGTGAGCGAGGTGGGGGGAATCCTTTGTGAGGGTGTAGGTGCCCGTTCGGAGCCCTGCCGGCCTGCCTTGGGCCCGGCTCCTGGCCTGTTCCCGGCGGTGCCCGGTGTGGAGCAGGGGAGGGCAGGTTTCTGATGGTCCCTATCACCAAGCGGGGCACAGCGGGGGGCAGGACTCCAGCAGGACGGGGACCATCCACTGACCTCCTCTGCTCAGGTGGGTCCCCCAAAGCTGCTGTTCCAGACTTAACTCCGAGCCTCAGGTGGTGGGGATTGGCACCCTCGGCTGGACTTCAGCTGAAAGGAGGGCCGGGTCATTACAGCCCAAGGTAGCTTTTGGGGTGTGGGTGCTGGTGTGATGAAGAGGTGATACCCCCCAACACGTGTCATAGCGTAGCCATCACCTGCATGCCACGACTGTGAACACCCAGAGGAAATGGTGTCTGTCCCACCTCCAGGCCGCAGTCAGAGCGGCCCGTGGTCCTGTGGGGAGGCCATTCACTGTGTTAGTAATGTTAGTCTTCATCTCAGCACTGACTGGCTTTGGAAACCAAAAGTACAAGTGTTTTCTTTCCTTCCTGTTACCTCAGTACTCGGAGACACTGTTGTTGGAGGTGGCAGCCTATTCTCTGTACCTCCATCTGAAGCACCAGAGCATTGCTAGTACAGGATTGCACGTGGGACAGCATTGCAGAGGGAAGTCACCTGGGTGCTTCGAGGAAAGGTGTCAGGAGTAACCACCTGCTTTTAATATGGCACAAAGTGTTCTAGGTGCTGTCAGTTCCTTATAGAGGGTCTGCACCTTCGCTCTGGATCCTTCTCGTTCTGTTCTGTACAGAACCAGCATTTTAATTGCCGAGATGGTAATGGGTTCAAGTTTCTTCTCTCCATTCCATTCGCTCTCCTTGCGGGCAGTGCAGGAGCCGGCAAAACATCTGGCTGGTGCTTCTCCCTGGCAGAGTAAGGATGTAAAAAACTTTATAGATGAATGACAACTGATTTAACTCAGCACAGAAGCATGGGAAAGTAACGCTGATTATCAGTGCTGAAATGCTAGAGATTCCCATTTCTGACCTGGGTTTCACTGAAATGATTTTCATTTTAGTGTAATGTCAGTGATTTGTACTTGGAAAGAAAGACGACTTGGAAACATTTCCCTCATTGTATGTCAGGTGTTTTCACAGGGTGTTTGTAATTTAGTTCCTTTAAATTATGCTTAAAATTTGCTTACATAATGGCTTGCTAATTTAAGCCTTAACAACTTGAGCACATATGCCGTGCAATTCCGCTGTGTACAACGGCAGAAGCTGTTAATATTGTCAGAACAAAATGTCTGGATTGTCAGGAGTGTTTCTACATGCCTTTCACAGAACTCTTATGTCAAATTGTCCATCAAAAGGCTAATTTATGTAAGTTCTGACTAATGCAGCTGCAGAACCAAAAAAAAAACCAAAAACTGTCAGGAGGCGGTAAAATTACATAGTAAATTGCAAAGGGATAGCAGATAAATTCTCTCTCTGTAGCATATACTGCAATTTGTTTCCTGAAAGACTTGGCGTTTGTATGCATCAGGGAGGCAGCACTGCTTCTCACTAATTGCTCCCTAGAACTGCTGCCCCCAGCAGATAAAAGAAGGAAAAGGGAAAAAAAAAACATCATCCAGCAAGAAACTGAGGAATTCTGTCTCAACTGAGATGTAGAGCACTTTCTTCTGCTTTCTGAGAAGTTAGTTGACTGTCAAACAAATCCAAGTATTAACATTTTTAAATTAAATCCTTAAAATTAGCTTGCACTTCACTGTTTGCTGAAGCAACGTGTTTGACTTAAATACCTGTTTTTCAGTGTCCAGCTAGCAAAAATCATTGATTACTTCTTGCACCCAAAAATCAGCAGGCAGCTGATACTCAGGCTCTGAAGTTAACTCCATCAGAGCTTCTTCATTTCATGGCTGGACTGCAGAAGAGTCACTAGACAGCTGGGAATTTTTTGGTTTTTTTTTTCTTTTTCCCTATAGCTTTAGATCAGCTTTAAATCACTAACTACTCACTCATGCTCCTTGTTTTTTTAAGTTTAGCAAACTGAATTCTGGGGCTATTTTGTCACCCCAAACCCAGACAGATTTTAGCTAAAAGGAGATCTTGCTTCAAAGAGAGATTTCATAAGATTTATGACCTATTACGCATTATGAGAAACCGACAAATAGCAGAAAAAATTTCCAGAGAACAAAGTAATTATGAGGACTAGATGTAATCTGTGCTCTCTCTTGCTCTCTATTTCTCTTTTTAATATAAATAACCTTAATCCTCATCCAGGATTAAAATTCAGTGTATTTTTAGCAATGCAATGTCCTAGATAAGAGATACTTCCATCTATGTTTTTATATCTTGTATATCTTTTGCATTATGGAGCATTTTGTGATTTTACTTAACAGATGGATAGTTCCATCTATATACCTGCAGTGCTGCAATTAGTGAGAGTTTAGGGTAGTTTGTCATAGATATACCTGAGGTACATGATTTTAGTAAAGATAATATGTGAGTTGGACGATGGAACAGTATATGTCAAGCCAGAAAATCTATAAACAAAGTTTCTGTAATATTTTGTGGTTTGTTTGTTTTTTTTTCCATTCCACTTGCAACTCAGCCTTCCTATGGAGATAAATTGCACCCTCCCCCCCAAAACTGTGATTATAAAATGGTATAAAATATCTGTTACTGGTTGTTTAATGACTGGTAAGAGATTAAGTGAAGATCTGCACAAAATATAATCTGCATTTTCTTAAGGTGCAGGTAAAACCTAATAATTCCAGATTGAAGTTTCCAAAGAGCTGCAAGTTATTTAGGCTGACATTTAATCACTGTGCAATTTCAGCATTCCAGCTAAAACTCTCCTCAAGTAACTTACATGCAACAGGTTTACAGAAAATGTGGAATTAGATGTTATTTTCTCAATGATCTATTAGATTTGTAATTAACTTGCCCATAAAAAGCAGAATCCTGTAGCAAACCCTTTGAATTGTTGAGTTTTCTGCAAATGATTGGGGATATTACACTGTCAAAAGCTGTTTGTTACTGAGAAATACAGATTAATGGCGAAGATGAGCAGGTGCTGAGGCTCTCTAAGCAGATGAGCACACACAGAATGGTTGTGTTATGACCGGAGGAAGTTTCTGCGTGTTGCTGGGGTGTTATTAGTGGTCGTGCACCTTGTATCTCTGCAGTGTGGGGAAAGCAATCAAAACCCACGGATTCCACTCCTTACCCATGCACGCATCAGCAAAGTTAATTTTTCTCACTGTAACTTTTTCTCTCTGGCCAAACAGCTTCTGCAAATGGGGAGGGGGCAGCTGAGGGTCCATCCAGCAGACTCTTCCCAGTCTGACAGCTTTGTTACCCTTTGGGATTATTTGGAGCAGTCCTTTCAGCTGCAGAGAAGGCTGCTTCCCTGGCCAAAGCAGGGACAGATGGGTGGGTTTAAGAGCCCACGGAGGCAGGTTCCTGCCTGTGTCAGTGCAGTGCAGCAGGAGAAGACACAGGGTGGAGTGGGGAATTAAACAGAGGAAGATTTCATCCACATCCTGCTTTTCCCCTGTGCTTTCAGCACAGATACAGCCTTACTCTTGCAGATATGTGAGTGTCCTACGTTGCAGGTTACACCCCTTTGCTGTGTACACCTGAGTAGATGTTTCTCTGCTCAGAAAATAAGTGTTTAGTAGAGCCTAGTGTTTGTGTTGGAGGAGCTGCCCTCTTGGTCGCTTCTATAGACTATTAAAGAGGAGGCTGGTGAGGTGTCCAGCAGAAATTAAGTCAATACATTTACCTGCCAGACTGCGTAGGAATCAGAACCCCTAGGTTGTATGTGAGCTGTGTCCACGCTTTCCCTCACCTGCTGGAGGAGGTGAGTGTCCCTCAGAGTGGTTCAGCTTGCTCTGAACTGAGCTAACTCCGCTCAGCCTTTCTCAGCTGTGGTGCCACTTTGGGGTCAGAGCCTGTGGTGGCCTCGTGCGGTACACGGCACTGTGGGGTTCTCCAGCAGCCTCCTCAGCCTCCCCCGGTGAGGGTGACTCCTGGGCCATCCCCGTGTCACACCACACAGCTCGGCGCTGGGGGAACGGTGAGGCACTGCTGGTAGAACTGGAGGCCAGCGTGGAGGCAGCTGAGTCCTGCTATAGATTTTCATGAGTTACAGGAGGAAATCAGTCAGCAGCGATGGCCTGTAGACAGAGTCGGGAACCTATTTTAGTCTTATCTCAAATGAAATTCTGTGTGCTTGGTCTGAGTCTTCTGTGCAAGCCTACGCCTTTGCTCCCCTGCAGGCAACCTGACAATCCACACAGCAGCAGATACTTTTTTAGCCTTTTGTCTCCTACATAAAGTGACCTTCTCCAAAGCGGGTGTCTATGGTCTTCTGCAGTCTGTGATGTGTGGAAAGTTGTGAATATATTCTGCTATAGAGAGTTCTATTTT